TATGTATTATACATGGAGATCATATCCCCCCCTTATGTATTATACATGGAGATCATATCCCCCCTTATGTATTATACATGGAGATCATATCCCCCCTTATGTATTATACATGGAGATCATATCCCCCCTTATGTATATATACATGGAGATCATATCCCCCCCTTATGTATTATACATGGAGATCATATATCCCCCCCTTATGTATTATACATGGAGATCATATCCCCCCTTATGTATTATATACATGGAGATCATATCCCCCCTTATGTATTATACATGGAGATCATATCCCCCCTTATGTATTATACATGGAGATCATATCCCCCCCCTTATGTATTATACATGGAGATCATATCCCCCCTTATGTATTATACATGGAGATCATATCCCCCCTTATGTATTATACATGGAGATCATATCCCCCCTTATGTATTATACATGGAGATCATATCCCCCCTTATGTATTATTATACATGGAGATCATATCCCCCCCCTTATGTATTATACATGGAGAGATCATCCCCCCCCCTTATGTATTATACATGGGAGATCATATCCCCCCTTATGTATTATACATGGAGATCATACCCCCCCCCCCTTATGTATTATACATGGAGATCATATCCCCCCTTATGTATATTATACATGGAGATCATATCCCCCCTTATGTATTATACATGGAGATCATATCCCCCCTTATGTATTATACATGGAGATCATATCCCCCCCCTTATGTATTATACATGGAGATCATATCCCCCCTTATGTATTATACATGGAGATCATATCCCCCCTTATGTATTATACATGGAGATCATATCCCCCCCCTTATGTATTATACATGGAGATCATATCCCCCCCTTATGTATTATACATGGAGATCATATCCCCCCTTATGTATTATACATGGAGATCATATCCCCCCTTATGTATTATACATGGAGATCATATCCCCCCCTTATGTATTATACATGGAGATCATATCCCCCCTTATGTATTATACATGGAGATCATATCCCCCCCCCCTTATGTATTATACATGGAGATCATATCCCCCCTTATGTATTATACATGGAGATCATATCCCCCCCCTTATGTATTATACATGGAGATCATATCCCCCCTTATGTATTATACATGGAGATCATATCCCCCCTTATGTATTATACATGGAGATCATATCCCCCCTTATGTATTATACATGGAGATCATATCCCCCCTTATGTATTATGTATTATACATGGAGATCATATCCCCCCTTATGTATTATACATGGAGATCATATCCCCCCTTATGTATTATACATGGAGATCATATCCCCCCTTATGTATTATACATGGAGATCATATCCCCCCCCTTATGTATTATACATGGAGATCATATCCCCCCTTATGTATTATACATGGAGATCATATCCCCCCTTATGTATTATACATGGAGATCATATCCCCCCTTATGTATCATACATGGAGATCATATCCCCCCTTATGTATTATACATGGAGATCATATCCCCCCTTATGTATTATACATGGAGATCATATCCCCCCTTATGTATTATACATGGAGATCATATCCCCCCTTATGTGTATTATACATGGAGATCATATCCCCCCCTTATGTATTATACATGGAGATCATATCCCCCCTTATGTATTATACATGGAGATCATATCCCCCCCTTATGTATTATACATGGAGATCATATCCCCCCTTATGTATTATACATGGAGATCATATCCCCCCTTATGTATTATACATGGAGATCATATCCCCCCTTATGTATTATACATGGAGATCATATCCCCCCTTATGTATTATACATGGAGAGATCATATCCCCCCTTATGTATTATACATGGAGATCATATCCCCCCTTATGTATTATACATGGTATCATATCCCCCCTTATGTATTATACATGGAGATCATATCCCCCCTTATGTATTATACATGGAGATCATATCCCCCTTATGTATTATACATGGAGATCATATCCCCCCTTATGTATTATACATGGAGATCATATCCCCCCTTATGTATTAATTATACATGGAGATCATATCCCCCCTTATGTATTATACATGGAGATCATATCCCCCCTTATGTATTATACATGGAGATCATATCCCCCCCCTTATGTATTATACATGGAGATCATCCCCCTTATGTATGTATTATACATGGAGATCATATCCCCCCCCTTATGTATTATACATGGAGAGATCATATCCCCCCCTTATGTATATATACATGGAGATCATATCCCCCCCTTATGTATTATACATGGAGATCATATCCCCCCTTATGTATTATACATGGAGATCATATCCCCCCTTATGTATTATACATGGAGATCATATCCCCCCTTATGTATTATACATGGAGATCATATCCCCCCCTTATGTATTATACATGGAGATCATATCCCCCCCCCTTATGTATTATACATGGAGATCATATCCCCCCCTTTATGTATTATACATGGAGATCATATCCCCCCTTATGTATTATACATGGAGATCATATCCCCCCTTATGTATTATACATGGAGATCATATCCCCCCCCTTATGTATTATACATGGAGATCATATCCCCCCTTATGTATTATACATGGAGATCATATCCCCCCTTATGTATTATACATGGTGATCATATCCCCCCTTATGTATTATACATGGAGATCATATCCCCCCTTATGTATTATATACATGGAGATCATATCCCCCCTTATGTATTATACATGGAGATCATATCCCCCTTATATGTATTATATACATGGAGATCATATCCCCCCTTATGTATTATACATGGAGATCATATCCCCCCTTATGTATTATACATGGAGATCATATCCCCCCTTATTATATATACCCCCCTTATGTATTATACATGGAGATCATATCCCCCCTTATGTATTATACATGGAGATCATATCCCCCCCTTATGTATTATATCCCCCCCTTATGTATTATACATGGAGATCATATCCCCCCCCTTATGTATTATACATGGAGATCATATCCCCCCCTTATGTATTATACATGGAGATCATATCCCCCCCTTATGTATTATACATGGAGATCATATCCCCCCTTATGTATTATACATGGAGATCATATCCCCCCTTATGTATTATACATGGAGATCATATCCCCCCTTATGTATTATACATGGAGATCATCATATCCCCCCTTATGTATTATTATACATGGAGATCATATCCCCCCTTATGTATTATACATGGAGATCCCCCCCCCCCCTTATGTATTATACATGGAGATCATATCCCCCCTTATGTATTATACATGGAGATCATATCCCCCCTTATGTATTATACATGGAGATCATATCCCCCCTTATGTATTATACATGGAGATCATATCCCCCCTTATGTATTATACATGGAGATCATATCCCCCCTTATGTATTATACATGGAGATCATATCCCCCCTTATGTATTATACATGGAGATCATATCCCCCCTTATGTATTATACATGGAGATCATATCCCCCCTTATGTATTATACATGGAGATCATATCCCCCCTTATGTATTATACATGGAGATCATATCCCCCCCTTATGTATTATACATGGAGATCATATCCCCCCTTATGTATTATACATGGAGATCATATCCCCCCTTATGTATTATACATGGAGATCATATCCCCCCTTATGTGTATTATACATGGAGATCATATCCCCCCTTATGTATTATACATGGAGATCATATCCCCCTTATGTATATATACATGGAGATCATATCCCCCCTTATGTATTATACATGGAGATCATATCCCCCCTTATGTATTATACATGGAGATCATATCCCCCCTTATGTATTATACATGGAGATCATATCCCCCCTTATGTATTATACATGGAGATCATATCCCCCCCCTTATTTGTATTATACATGGAGATCATATCCCCCCTTATGTATTATACATGGAGATCATATCCCCCCTTATGTATATATACATGGAGATCATATCCCCCCTTATATATTATACATGGAGAGATCATATCCCCCCTTATGTATTATACATGGAGATCATATCCCCCTTATGTATTATACTTATACATGGAGATCATATCCCCCCTTATGTATTATACATGGAGATCATATCCCCCCCTTATGTATTATACATGGAGATCATATCCCCCCCTTATTTATTATACATGGGGATCATATCCCCCTAATAATCTCCTCTTCTCAAGAGAGAATAAATTCAATACTAATCTTTCCTCATAGCTGATCTCCTCCATGCCTCTTATCAGTTTTGGTTGCCCTTCTCTGTACTTTCTTCAGCTCCCCAATGTTCTTTTTGTGAATTGGTGCCCAAAACTGAACTGCATATTCCAGATGAGGTCTTACTAATGATTTGTACCGGGGGAAATGATCTCTCTCTCTGGGGTCTATACCTCTCCTAATACAAGAGAGGATTTTGCTCGCTTTAGAAACTGCAGCTTGGCATTGCTGCCATTATATTAAGCTTGTGATTACCAGAACTCCCAGATCCTTCTCCACCATTGACCCCCCCCCCCAGTTGTAACCCCCCTAGTATGTATGATACATGCATATTCTTAGCCCCCAAGTGCAGAACCTTACATTTATCAACATTAAACCTCATTTGCTACATAGTTGCCCAATTACACAGAGCATTGAGGTCGGCTTGTAAGTTGAGACATCCTGTAAGGACGTTATTCCACGGCACAGCTTGGTGTCATCTGCAAAGACTGAAATGGGATTTATAAATCCCAGACCCTATATTGTTTATAAATATATTACAAAGTAAGCGTCCAACACTGAACCTTGGGGTACACCACTGATGACCCCAGACCATGCAGAGTATGAATCATTAACTACTACTCTCTGAATACCATCTTTTAGCCAGTTTTCTATCCATTTACATACAGATTTTTCCAAGCCTGTAGACTTTACCTTACAAATTAGCCATGTGTGGGGAACTGTGTCAAACGCTTTTGCAAAATCCAAGTATACCACGTCCACTGCCACCCCTCTTGTCCAAGTATACCATGTCCACCGCCACCCCTCTGTCCAAGTATACCACGTCCCACCACCACCCCTCTGTTCAAGTATACCATACCCACTGTCCACCACCACCTCTGTCCAAGTATACCACGTCCACCGCCACCCCTCTGTCCAAGTATACCATGCCCACAGCCACCCCTCTGTCCAAGTATACCACATCCACCGCCACCCCCCTCTGTCCAAGTATACCATGTCTACCGCCACCCCTCTGCCCAAGTATACCACGTCCACCGCCACCCCTCTGTCCAAGTATACCATGTCCACCGCCACCCCCTCTGTCCAAGTATACCACGTCCACTGCCACCGCCCACCCCTCTGTCCATGTATACCATGCCCACAGCCACCCCTCTGTCCAAGGTTTTGCTCACCTCCTCATAAAAAGAAATCAGATTTGTTTGACAACTTCTGTCTTTTATGAATCCATGCTGTCTGTTGCTTAAAATATTTTTTTCCAGCAAGAACTCATCTATGTAGTCTTTTAATAAAATCTCCAGTATCTTCCCAACTATAAAAGTTAAACTAACAGCTCTATAATTACTTTGTAAAGATTTTGACCACTTTTTTAAATATTAGCACCACATTGGCCATGCGCCAATGCTGGAGGAATCTATCGTTGCTCGGTGGGGGTTAATGCTGCTGGCAGCAGGGGATACATTTTTCTGCTTTTCATGTTATCAGTAACAAATTCCATACAAATGATTTAGCACCACAAAATTATACTTGGCTCTGTATTCTCTAAAAGGAGTGGTATATGGGAGGTGGGTAAGGGGTGCAACCAAATGAAGGTGCTTAGAGGTGGGTAGGGGGGCAGAGAGACAAGCAGTAACTCAAAAAGGGTGAGTTCCTAAACCTATTTTTTAAGAAAAAAAAACCCTGAATTATGATACCAACCTTCAGCTATGCAGTATGGCAGGGGAGCCTACATGAACTATATATTTCAAGACCACATATAGCCATTTGGCCGGAGTTCTGCTTTAGTTCTGCATTTTTTAAAAATATATCCAGTACGGGCAAATACCTCAGAGTCTGTCACGCCTTATTTGCTGCTGAATTGCGGGAAGACCCGCTGAGAAGAATTTTGGATGTCCCGCCGCGTGGATGTAGGGAGTCACCACGGGAGCTACTCCTGCCTGCAAAAGCCTCGGAAAACTCATTCCAAAACCTATTCAGTGGGATAATGTGGGCCAAAGCCAAGAAAGAATCAGAATCCTGACTTAGATAGATCAAAGCTTGTTATTCAGCACCCGTCTCCCCCCGCCGTGCCTGGTTGCAGAAGGCCTTATTTTAAACAACAAACAGCTTCCAACAGAAATTCTTCCACGTAATTACACCATATCAATGACATTAGTGCAGCTACTTTCCTCCAAGTCTACTTTGGGTAAACTTTATGTTCTTACATAAAGACGACATCAGTGAATGCTATTTGTATCAAAGTGGGAGATTGACGCTTTGACCGCGCAATTTCTATAACAGCCAGGACTGCACAGGAACATCTATACCAACAGGATGGAGATTTCTGTTTTCTGTTTGATTCAATGAAAAAAATATAACAATACCGGATCCCCGATGTTTTTCTGAATGTTGCCATTTTTGTCGATCCAAATTAAAATCGCTTTCCTGCCGGCGTATAGCAGCCCCCTGGATATTGACACCACCTCCTGGGAAACCCTGGCACAAGATCGATCGACATGGCACACGATGATCCACGAAGGCTGCCAGACATTTGAGGAGAGAATAAAAACCATAGCACAAGAGAAGCAAGCACTCCGCAAAGCCAGAGCTGCAAATGCTGCAACAGTGGTGCCAACATATGTCTGCCCGACATGTGGCAGAACATTTTGTGCCCGTATTGGCCTTACCAGCCACCTACGGCGATCAAATACCACCGAAAGAAAGCTCCTTTTGTGGGGAAAAAAGGACTTAAAGTTAATTTGGTGCAGCATTGCATGACTGCGCAATTGTCAGTTAAAGTAATGCAGCGCCGTATCAAAAAAAATGGCCTGGTCAGGAGGGAGAGGGGGGGGGGGGGGGGGGATGGGGGGGGGGGGTGGGGGGTAAATCCTCTGGAGGGCAAGTGGTTAAGATAAAATAAACAATAGCTTTTCAATGTAGATTGAGTGGTTGTTCTACTCATAAGAAGTTAACCACTTGTCCATTTTTGGCTATTTAGCACTGCACTACCTAACCTGGCAATTGCTCGGTAATGCAACACTAGTTCGCAAATTAAATTCATATCATTTTTCTTTTGGTGGTATTTGATCACCACTGTTATTTTTATTTTTATTGTTATATAAACAAGAAAGGACCAAAAATTTTCAAACACAGAACTATGTGTGTGTGATTGGACACAGCCGATCAGCTGACTTCAGCCAAAATCATTAGCTAAAACCAAATGCCAAGATTGGGAAGATTCACCCTCTCTTTTTGTCCTGGAAAAAATTGTCTGTAAGACAGAAAGTGATGGGAAGTCCGAAATGTTAAATTGTCACCAGAATAGGAACAGAGGGGGGATATTCCAGTGGGTACACTTGTAGGTTGTGGGGACAATGGTCAAGATAGGATTTCCTTAATTTTGGGGGAATCTTCTCCTACTTCTTTTTGTACCTCCAGACAGAGAACATTTTTCCCAATGGGAATCAGACAAAAAAAAACCTTGGTGTAATAAAGTTCAAGTGTGATAAAGTTAGAAGTGGTCTTCTGTGTACTATTATATAAAATATGAAGAAGACCATACTGTGTGCACAGGAAAAATTACACGCGTGCTCAACAGTAGTGTAACACTACCCTCTTGGGGATTGCTGATTAATTTGGGTCCCCCTATAGTTCTGCACAGCCGGTCATTTAGCATTTTCCACACAAATTTTCACCCTGAGACAAAAAACTGTCTTTGAGCGTTGGTTTTGGTATTTATTGAGGGGGTTAGAACTTGGATAGGGAAAGGAGGGTATAGGATGCCCAAAGGGGCCGATGTCTGAGGACAACGTCCTGAACTATTCACAAGCTTCTCTTATTTAGAAGAAGCTTCTAGTTGTGCCACCCCAGACCCTAGAAGAACTCATCTTCACCCAGCAATCTGGAGACTTTCTTCCTGAGTAGGGGATTTGGCTCCTGTTCCTTTAAATAAATTGCACAGTCAATAGCTGAAAGATAATCTGGTTTCCCACCAGAGTGCTCCTTCCCCTATCCACCCGGGGGGTGCAGGTGTACTCACTCAGATCCTCTCCTGTACCGCTTATGGGATGGCTGCTGTTACCAGGTCTATCAGCTGGGCTGCTCCTTCCCTGCCATACAGGTCGTCCTCTCTCAGGGGGTCAGTGAGTCCCAAGTATTCCTCCTTTCCATCTCACAGGCAGGCCCCATCTCACCAGGCCTCCTGGCAGCCTTCTTTCTCCAGCCTCACATCTTCCTTCTGCTCTCCTGCTACCCCACCACACACATTCCTGCTACTGAGCAGGCTCTTACACTTTAAGGGAGTCCAAGCCCCTTGCCAAACCTTCTGTTGGGGATTGTCTGAGGTCCCTCAAGAGAGCAGCCAACCACTCCTCAGATCCACCCACTGGCTCCAAGGCCCTCCTCCGAAAGCCTCAGAGCAGGGAAAATTTGAGAGGGACTGGCCTGCAGAACCTTTCAACCCTGACCACAATTTCACCCCTCTGGCTATCACACCTGAGCTGCTACTCAGCTCCTGACTAACCATTAGGGACTAACTCCCCCTAGCTGTAGTAAGAGGGTGCTGCAGTAGTCTGAAAGATTTTTATGATTTACTCTAAAGCTGGCCATAGATAGATAGAATCTTAGCCAGTTCAGCCAAGATTCTCTCCATCTATGGGCAGGCTGGTTGTAGCCAAGTTGACCCATCGATCGACTTTAGTGCAACCAGCCTGTCAGGTTTTTTACATGCAATTTCTGCTGGTGGTAATTCTCCTGGCCTGTGGTATAAGGAAAGAAAACCACATATGCTATAATCTAAAGGGTTGTTTACATTGTTAAGAGATAAGGTTAGATCACGTGTCAAATGCCCTAAAACAATACAGTTCTATGCCTTGCAAGGCCACAGGTGGCTATGCACCTAGAAAAAACCTTAATCTCAATTTTCTCATGAGAATGCTGCTGAAGCAAATAAAACTTTACGTGAGAACCCCACATGTATAACAAAATAAAATGGAGTCTCTAAAGCATAATATGAACTGTTCATTGTAGAATGTTTCAACAAGGCACAATCAGGCCTGACAGGAGAACACAACCGTCTGGAGTCACTTACAGGAGAAGCAACAGCGGATCTGTAGCTGGAGATGAAGCCGACAGTTTCTGGAATGAGGGGCGAGAATGCAGCCTGGCCCATCCAACCAACTGAGAGGCTTGTTAAAGTAGAGATTTCATAGTCCCTGCACTTTCCCTACTCTTCCAGAACCTCTCCCTGTGCTGTCCCTAACAGGCAGGGAACCTGTCCCTACACTAACCACTCGCAAACTGTATGCCAAATAAGGGGGGCAGGGGCTTAAATAAGCTCTGCCCTCACCCAAGATGGCCGTAAAGGTCACAGGGACACCAGCATCCAACAGGACAGCTGCTCCCCTGGTGACCACAGGAAATCATAGAAGAACTAAGCTCCTTACAACCTTCCTCTTCTGGACTGCTGCTTTGGTCGAACGCCACCTAGAGTGGGTAGTACAGACTGCACCTGCCTCACACTTTATAATCACTTACAGCAAGCAGTTTTTTTTTTCTTTTTGGGTTAAAGGTTTTACATGAATAAATTACCCCTCGCCCTCCAGAGGATTTACCCCCCTTCCTGACCAGGCCATTTTTGGCGTTACGGCACTGTGTTACTGACAATTGCGCGGTCATGCAACACTGCACCCAGACTGAATTTATGTCCTTTTCCCCCCACAAATAGAGTTTTCTTTCAGCGGTATTTGATCACCTGTGAGCTTTTATTTTTTGCGCTAGAAACAACAAAATACCGACAATTTTGAAAAAACAACAACAATATTTTTGACTTTTTGCTATTAAACATCCAATACAATATTTTTTAAAATACAATTTCTTCATACATTTAAGCCAAAATGTATTCTGCTCCATGTCTTTGCTAAAAGAAATCCCAATACGTGTAAATTAATTGGTTTACGTAAAAGTTATAGCGTTTACAAATGGCGGTATATATACTGGAATTTTTTTTTTTCACTAGTAATGGCAGCGATCAGAGACTTATAGCGGGACTGAGGCGGGCATTCTGACACTGGGGGGAACTGACTTGGTGTCACTGACATCCCCAGTGACACCAATACAGTGACCAGTACTAAAAAAAAAAAGCACTGACACTGTACTAATGGCACTGGGCAGGAATGGGTTAACATATGGGGCAATCAAAGGGT